TAGGGTTTTCGCTATATAAAACATTGTAAGCCATTGGAGGCCGCATTGGTTGAAAGAAATAAAATTTTCTAGAGTTTCTATTCATTGAAATTTTTTGTGAGGTTCTTTATCTTTCCTATAAGCTTCCGCTATGTCATCTTCCATTCTAAACCTTCTCAAATCCAAATAAGAAGCTGCATCATATTCAGAATGGTTAGGTTTTTGATGTAATTGGGAAGTCTGTGAACAAAAGGGACTAAATTTAATATGTTGTAAAAGTCAAGAAGTAAGTTGAAAATAGTATATTGTATTAGATTTAGGGTTTGAGAATGGAAAAAAAAAGGAAAAACAGCGCCCCAATTTCGCTAGACTATCGCCATGACTTTACTTGAGCGGTAGAAATAGAAACATCGTCGCCCGCCTATGGCCAGGACTTCACTCAAGTGACACACCGTCGCTCACCTGTCGCCTAGCTTTCACTCGAACGACAGGGTTTCCCGAAAAATTTTAATTTCCGTTTTTAAGACTTTTTGTCCAACCCATTTAACCCCAAAACCTAAACTATAAATACCAAACGCCTATGAATAGATTTTCTAAAGTTGGACATTGAGAAAAACACACTCTCCATAGCCTCTTCATCATATAAGCTTTCAACCTTCATATTTGTTATGGCGGTGAAAACATCAAATTCACAATCCAAATACCAAACTGCTACTTCATACACATCTGTAAGGGTTCTAAAGATCAAGGGAATGTAACTAGAGTTTCAGTTGTTGAAGAACACGGAGTTCTTCGTTGATTCACATGAGATAGATGAATTCATAAAGACGGGAGTTGCTACAGGAGCGTGCAATCCAGGGGGACTTTGAAAACTGCAGTTGGGAGTTGGTGCAGAAGCATGTAATTCAAGAGAGTTGTGAAAGTTACAGTCGGGAGGTCACAAAGTACTAGTGATAGTCGTGTCTAGCGGACTGTAAGTTCATAATTCGTTTATAGTGGATTCCTGACTGGAGAAGTGTCCGGAGTACCTAGTTGGGATTTCTCCGTGATCATCTCGTGTGTTTGTTTATTGCTTTCATAACTACAGTATTTCAATATAGGAAAAATTGAACTGTTTGATTAACCATCTAGATATAATTAATAGTGACTTGTTGCTAATTAATTATTAAGTTTTTAATTTTGCATAATCACATATTCACCCCCTCTACGTGTATTTTGGATCGAACCTCGTTATTTCAATTGGTATTAGAGCCTTATTTCGATTCCTGATGTTTAAATAATTCTAGATGAGCCAGTCCTTATTTGTGTCGCCGTTTTTCGACGAAAACAACTATACTTATTGGAAAGTTCGAATGAGAACCTTCCCTAAAACATTGGATGAACGTATTTGGACAAGCGTTCAAACTGGGTGGACTGCACCGTCAACCACTGTTGCTGGTGTAGGTGCACCACTGATATCTCACTTTAGACTAAAGATAACTTAGTCAAGTGTAAGGGAACAGTAAGGGTCTTCATGCCCTATTCATGGATGTGTCTGCTGAAGAGTTTAGGAGAATATCTATGTGTGAAACTGCTAAAGATGTCTGGGATATACTAGAAACTACACATGAGGAAAACTAAAATTGTTAAAAACTCTAAACTAAAGATGTTGACCTCTAGGTTTGAAGAAATTAGAATGAAGGAGATGAATCGTTTGATGAATTCTATGCGAAACATAATGATATAGTTAATTCAAGTTTCAACCTAGGTGAGAAGATCCCCGAGCCTAAAATTGTTAGAAAAGTCCTTAGATTCCTACCTTAAAGGTTTAGACCTAAAGTCACTGAAATAAGAACTTAGATGCTGTTAAGATAGAAGAACTCGTAGGATCCCCTATGAACTCACCATATCTTAACCGAAAAAGGTTAAAGCCATAGCCATGAAAACTATTAGGGAAGAAGAGAGTAAGTCAACTGATACTGAGACGCCTAGGGATGACGAAATAGTTTATTTCGTTAAAAAATTCCATAATGTGATGTGGAATAGGAAAAAAGCTCAAGAATGGAAAAATGATGTCCCTGGTAAATTCTCGAACGATAAGCGTGAGAGGGATAATCGTAGGACTTCTAATAAGAAAATCCAGTCAGTTAGATGCCATGAGTGTCAAGGTTTTGGTTACTATAGGAATGAATGTCCTAATTTGAAGAAGAATCTGAATAAAGGAAGGCGTAAGGCATTAGCAGTGACCTTGAGTGATGATGAATCAGATTCGAGTGTTCAAAGTGATACCTCTGGTGGTGAGGATGAACAAAATTTCATGGTCTTCACATCTATAGCTAAGATTGAATCTGATAAGGAAAATGAAAAGGTTGAGAGTGAAGAACGTAGTGAAAAATTTGAGGAAGATTTTGAGGATGAGACTGATATTCATAAGCCTTATCGAGAATTATTTCAGGAGAGTCCTAAAATTAAGAAGGTCAATAAAGTTGTTCTGAAGAAGGTTAATGAACTTAAAGAGAGAAAGAAAAACTCATAAGTGACCTTTAGGATTCTACCAAAAATTTGAGTGAATTAAAGCTTGTTAATGAGAACTTAGAAGTCAAAGTTAAATCCTTAACAAGCAATCTTGAAAAATCTAATACTCAACTTCATTCTTACATGAGTAGTACTCAGAAACTCGATAATCTGTTAGGGATGAACAAGCCTACTGGAAATAGGCATAGTCTGGGTTACGTTCAAAATGTTAATACTACTGCTAGTACATATAAGACCACGTTCGTCCCAGCTACCAACAAAGCTCGGAATACTATTAATCCTGAACTCAAGGGCAAGAATGTCTTTGGATCGAGACCTACTAGACAACGTAGGATCAATCGTCCTATAAATCAACGACAACCTCCGAGCATGTTTGAACCTAAGTTTGTTCTCACATGTTACCATTGTGACGCACTGGGACACACAATACTTAGGTGTCGTAAACTCGCTACTAGAAGTGAAAGACAAGATTTCTCGAGCAAGGTTAACTTCTTCGCCAATCAGGTTAGCAACTTAACTGAGATGATGACTCAGCTGGCTAGAATCACTTCTACTACTAAGAAGGTTTGGGTTAAAAAGAGTGATATTCCTAGGTCTGATGATCAGTTGAATTGTTATGTTGCCCACATTGCATTTAAAGCTCAAAATAACTTTATATAATATCTTGATAGTGCATATTCTAGATATATTTGTGGTGATAAAGCATTGTTCTCTTCTCTCGATGAGTAGAATAGTGGTGTAGTTACTTTTGGAGATAGGCTACTGCATCTTTCCTAGGTAAAGGTGTTGTTAATATATCTGGATCACCTGTTATCTCAGACGTGCTTTATGTAAAAGGGTCAAAGTCCAACTTTTTAAGCATTAGTCAAATATACGATACTGATTTTGAGATTAGTTTTGTCCAGAAACGATGTACCGTGTATTATTCCACTGGTAACATTGTCCTCGAAGGTGTAAACACTTCAGACAATTATTATGGAGTTCTTACTAATTCCAACTACGTGTGCACTAGTGCCAAGATTGATGTAATTGAACTCTGGTATCAACGCTTTTTGTCCAGAAACGATGTACCGTGTATTTTTCCACTGGTAACATTGTCCTCGAAGTGGTAAGAACTTCAGACAATTGTTAGGTTTTTTATGTAATTGGCAAGTTTGTGAACAAAAGGGGCTAAATTTAATATGTTGTAAAAGTCAATGAGTATGTTACAAATAGTATGTTGTATTAGGTCTAGGGTTCGAGAATGGAAAAGAAGGAAAAATGGCGTCGCAATTTTGTTAGACTGTCTCCATGACTTTGCTCGAGCGGTAAAAACAGAAATATTATCGCCCGCCTATTGTCGGGACTTCGTTCGAGCGACACACTATCACTCGCCTGTCACCCAGCTTTCGCTCTAGCGACAGGGTTTCCCAAAAAAATTTAATTCGCATTTTTAAGGCTTTTTGTACGGCCCATTCAATCCCAAAACCTAAACTATAAATACCAAACGCCTATGAACGGATTTTTAAGGTTGAACATTGAGAAAAACACATACTCTCCATATCCTCTTCATCATGTAAGCTTTCAACCTTCATACTGTGATTTGTTCTGACAGTGAAAATATCAAATCCATAGTCCAAATACCAAACTGCTACTTCCTACACATCTGTCAGAGTTCTAAAAATCAAGGGAAGGTAACTGGAGTTTCAGTTGTTGAAGAACGCAGAGTTCTTCGTTGATCCACATGATTCGTAAAGCTGGGAGTTGCTACATGAGCGTGCAATTCATGAGGGTTTTGAAAATTGCAGATGGGAGTTGTGTAGAAGCACGTAATCCACGAAAGTTGTGGAAATTGCAGTTAGGAGGTTAGAAAGTACTGGTGGTAGTCGTGTCTGGTGGCCTGTAAGTTCATAATTCGTTTATAGTGGACTTTTGATTGGCAAAGTGCCCAAAGTTTTTACGCAGTTGGGGTTTCTCCGTGATCATCTCTTGTATTTGTTTATTGCTTTCATAACTGCGGTATTTCAACGTAGGAAAAATTGAATTGTTTGATTAACCATCTAGATATAATTAATAGTGACTTGTTTCTAATTAATTATTAAGTTTATAATTCCGCATAATCACGTATTCACCTCCCCTCTAGGTATAGTTTGGGTCGAACCTCATTATTTCAAGAACAAGAGCTAAACATTGCGCTATGCCCAGATCTCCCTCCCTCGTTTAGGTAATCTAAAGAGACATTGCCTTCCAAAGCACGTTCAATCTGTAGAAATACCAAATTACATTATTATTAGATTATGCATTGGACAGGATATCAGACGAATATTTACCTTTTCTGTAAACGCCCACAATGTATATTTAAAGAACAGGTGATACCCATTTCCTTTAGTGTGTTGTGGAGTATTTTATGTGACAGCTAGATGTATGTAACTCCAACGGTTAGAGCTTTTAACCTAGCTCATTTTGAGGCATCTCCTCGCAGAATGCCTACTACATGCAGCAGCAGAGGCAACCATGAGTAGCATCTCCTATGGGTCATAGTTATCTTCCAAGCGTAGATCCACCAATGCTTCATAGTTTCCTCCTTCGGTGATGCTCATAGAATCGGAATAGCCTATATGTTCCCTACAACAGCAAAGAAAAACAACAAACTGAATATTTGCAACACTTTACACTGCGAATTAAGGTCTTCTATAACAGCTAAATGCACCGCAAAACACCATCGACAATAGATAACAAGTTGTCATGTATGGAGCGTCCTAGAAAATTACAATGATTGTCGCAAACATGGATTTAGTACAAAATAAAGTGGTAGTTACTATGTTATTTATACTGTAAAAAAAAAAAATAGAACTTAATTTCCAAGTATAAAAAGGATCATGAATGCAAATGTCTTATTATACATTATCTGAGAAACAAAAAAGTGTAATTAATAAAACTAACAAAATGAAAGTTCTTAATAACACAATTAACTGTGAACTTCTCATACCCAACAAAAATTCAAAATTTTGGAACTCAAGAATCTAATTGCCTTGGCACTTCCTTATCTTCTAATTCATTTAGAGTTTTCTGTTCAATTCCTTCCTCACTTTCATCATTTAAATCTCTCTTATTACTCATGGTAAATTATTCAAGAGCTCCTTTTTAGGTTTGAATCAAACTATCTATTCACCTCTTTTTCTTAATTATAAACGCTTCTCAACAAATTTTAAATAACAAAAAGAAATCTAATAAAAGGGGAAAAAATTCTTTATAAAACATTAAAAAAAAAACAATGAGTTTTACAAAGTAAATTATACTATCATAATAGAAAAATGCCACTCATCGTATGTTAGGATATGAGTTCAAATAGATATCAAGAAGAAGAAGAAGAAGATCACTATTCCTTTTTAAGTTTTTCTCGGCAATTCTGAGAGAGATGTGAAGAACAAGAAACGGCAACTTCAACCCATAACGAAATGTACTTTCTCCTTTATTTATACTGCTTTAGTAATGCTAATTTTGTCATGCATTGTGGGGTCCATCTTTCATGATCACTAATAATCAGACATATTTCGATAAAAATCAAACAACTCAATCACGGAACTAAAAAGAGAGAGGTACCACCTAAAAATAATCACATGACCAAGCTACAAGTAAATACTAATCCAGAATTTCTCCAAATCTAACTCTTCATGTGATTTCCCTAAATGATGATCAGATCGGTTGAATCCTAACATGCAAAAAAAAATTAATTAATTAATTAAGAAAGAAAAGAAAAGAAAAAGAACATTTTGGAATGATAATTGGATATTTGGATCATTGAATGATACTGCATGAAAAGATCTCAAGATTAAAAAAAAAAAAAACAGTTTTATTTTAAAATAATCTCACATTAAATAAAAATTTCATTATACTCTCAAGAATTTTTATTAGAAGTAAATAATGATCTTGTTAGGTAATTGCCTCAAAAGTCAAAGTTGAAGGACTTCTACTGCAAATAATAATAGGTTATTTTGGATCCTATAAATAGTGGTGTATTCCATATTTTAGGGTTTTGTGACCTATGAGATAAAAGAAAAAAAGGCGTCTACTTTGTGGTAATAAGCAGCAGCTCTATCTTGTGAATATATATATTCAATTAGCCTACAAATTGGTGGCTGAAGCTTTGACTCGGGAATATATATATATATTCAATTGGCTGGAGAAGAGTTGCTGGGATTGGTATATATATATATGCATAGTTGCCGACAGTTTCTGGAGAAGAAGAAAGGCACGGAATTGTTGAGGATATATATATTTATCAACACACAAAGTTAGAGATAATATTTTCTTGTGTATGAATTCTACGCTATCTTCCTTTCAGTTTTTGAATGAAACAAGTAAAGGACACCTCATAATTCAAAATACATGTAGCCCAGACTACAGAATATAAAAACAAATGTGAAAGTCAAGTACCATCGAACTGGATTTTGATTTGAAGTTATCTATTGAGCCTTGGTACAGAGATGCTGATCAAAAATGTATACAACTGCAGACTGGAAATGGTAGATTTCAAGAAACTCATTCTCTCCTTTCTACTGTATACAAAAAGGTCGATGGGTATATATATCCAGTATTTGATAAAGTACAATTACAGATGGCGGTCTCTCTTGCCCAAAGATCTTGTTTTGAGGGACCGTCCACTTGACCAAAACAGAAGAGGGGGGAAAACGTACGTTATGTTGCTCTCGAAGATTCCTGCCGTTTTAGTGGGATACCTTCTTGACCAAAACCATGTTCCTCATCACCATGCTTGGGAAGTCGCAAATGCACAACCGAACCTGCGTTAGAATAGTTACTTGAGTAACAAAAATGGTGAAATGCTTATAAGCCCTATTGAAGCTGTAAGCTCTTATGGAATAGACAAACTAGAAGTGCTTATAAATAGAAGGGAATTTTAGAAACTGGGTAGCATAACTTTTTGAGTTTAAGCACTTGAGTCGCCCATCTGTTGAATTTATAAGCAATACAAAGCCCTCCAACAGCTTAAGGGCACCGAGCCTACAAGCTTTTAACGCTTGCCAGCTTTCCCAAACACACAACTATTCCTCTTTTTATTTTTTGTTTGGGCAGGGGGTGAGAAGTATCAGCCACTGTAAAGCTTACAAGAAAGAATATAGCACATACCATCAGCCATGTCTTTCGTTTTGTGAAGGAGAAAGGTTCCAGAAAGGATCGTCACAAACCCACACATTTCGGTGACAATCTGGGTAGGATTCTGTCTATCCCAGTCCTGTCCATATAAGCAAACTTGAGATCATTCTCAAACGAGGGATGATAAACGAAATCTTTAAGAACAATCAACAAAATACTCTAGCAGCGATGGTTACTTCCATGCTTTGCCACAAATCAAGTTCTAATCATATCAGAGAAAAGGAACAAGTAAACTTAAATGGTGGTATACGCACTAAAAGCATGTACTACAAGGGTAATGAATTGTGTGGGATACGCACTAAAAGCATGTACTACAAGGGTAATGAATTGTGTCAAGAAACACGACCTTCATTACTATTGGTCATATATGCACCACTAGTCATGTATTTAAATCCCACCCACCCAAAAAGAAGAAGAAGAAGAAGAAGAAGAAGAAGGAATGGGTATATCTGAAGAAAAGGAATGGGTATTCTGCCATATAGAAGCGTACCTCACTATCAAGGAAATTTAAAGTTCCACAGAGATTCAGATACTCGGTTTCTCACCATAGATGAAATATTCAAGAATCCTATTTGTGAGAACGAGTTCCATCCTTTCTAGAATATTATTTAATAATGGAAGACTAGTAAGACAAAAGCACCTGATCAGAAGCAAGAATACCTTGAACATGATCACACTTGCCAATATAGTCAAGGATGTAAACATAACATAGTAAATCGGTGAAACAACAGCAGTGTTGAATGTGTCAAGAGCCTGCATTCAAGATTCACTGGATACATGAAAATAGAGACAGGGATGAAAGAAAACAGTATAGATCTATGAAAAAATATAATCCACAAAAAATTTAAAGCCGAAGCACCAAATATATGTTCATGTCTACAAGTCTAAAATGAAATGAATACAAGTATAGATTATTCTCTCCGTATCTAACGAGACAAATTTATTCTGTAACAGATTGAAGCTGTGCCTCACTTTGATCCTCAAGCATATGGGCATCCTATGACTTGAGAGATCAAAAATAAATGAGTTCCTATTGATGAATAATATATTTGAGCCAATTGAGTGGAAAATTCCCAGGTGTCTAGCACTGCTGTCTTATTGGCTGTTCGCCTAAGGCCTTAAACTGTCTTTGTAGTGGCCACGTTTTGTACTTCTCAATAAAAATTGAAGTGTAAGTTCAAAGCTAATTTCACTAATCATCAGCAGGGTAAATAAATAATCATGACTCAAAAAATCATTCTTCACCTTGTTCAAATAATTCATTTGGGTAAGCACACAAACAGTGACAACCAAGGCAAAGGTCCATGTCTGGGGATAAATCAGCTGGTTCATTCCCGATAATGTTACCTTCAATGCAATTCCTAGTGCTTTGACACTCATGACCTGCCAGGGCATTCCACACAACGTTAAATTCATACAGAACAACCATAATTTTTTTCATGGAGCGAGGAACCAAATTATCAATAATAACATTACCTACCGTTAAAGAACCAACTAGTGAACAAACACCGATGTAGAACATTATATGCGTCTGTCCATATCGTGGGACATAGTGAAATATTAGGACTAACACAACAGCTATCACCAGAGCTGCATAAAAGAGAAAAGCTGCAGCAGAGATACTTGGTCATTAAGGCGAGCAGGTAGTTGTAAAAAATAGAACCACAAAACATGATACCAATTAAATGGTTTATGAGGATACTGTAGTACGATAAGACAAATGGTTTGGAGTACAAATAGGTTTACCTGGCTCAGTAGCAAGATCCCATACTTCTTTTACAGATTCAATCTCACGCTCCTGTGGAGCATGTAGAACAATTGTGGTGGAACCCACAACGCATAGAGCACAACCAAGAATTCCAAAAATGTGTAGCTTCTCTCGTAAAATAATGTGAGCAAGTACAGCGCTGCTGGACATGCATGGTGGTCACTGATCAGTAGTCAAAAGTGAAAATCATATTTAATTAGGTGTCTCAAAAATGATACATTACCTGATAATAATGCTGAGAGCACCAAGAGGAGTGACCAGAATGGCAGGTGCAAATGCATAAGCTGCAAAATTGGCAATTTCTCCAACAACCACTACATCAACAGTAAGCACCCATAAATCTTTTAGCTTCAGTAAAATTAGACAAAAAAAAAAACTTATCGCACAGTATCAAGGGGAAGGACCCGGATAAATCATCTTATATAGTGCAAGGTGATATAACATTATTTTTTTTAAAAATGGTCATAGTGTAGCTCACACTAGATTTACAATGTTTAGAAACAAACAGAAATAAATAACCTACTTGTTATCATGCCCACCCACCACAGTGGCTCGTATAGGTATGAATATCCTCCAACCCCTGAGGTGAAAGGTACAAATAAAAGAAATATTAAAGGCTTGATAAAAACAGAACCTAATATATTACATAGAAACGGAGGGAACAACCTAAGGAATAACTAAGCATGGTCATATCCCACAACAGAAATAAGGAGAACATGATTATAATCACAACAGAAAGCATGTTTATATCCCACGACAGAAATAAGGAGAACATGATTATAATCACAACAGAATTTACAAGCAATAGTGAAAGTTGTAGGAAATTAGAGGGTATACAACAAACTCCTAAGCATATAAATTCTACTCATAACTTCTAGGTGCTTTATTTAATGAGAAATATAGCCTAAAGAATTTGAAGAATGGGAGCTACATTAGATTTGGTAAAAGTCTTTGGTATATACCTTTGGCTTGTGAGGCAAAGAACATCAGACCATAATTAAAAGCTATTCAATGTAACATTACTAGCTAATAGCTACTGCATTATAAACTGATAAATATAAAAGCCACTTGATGATACATTATGATGGACTCGCATGGTATCCAATTATCAAATTTAGGTCCTGTTTGATTGCACTTCAATTCCATGGAAGATGAAAATTAAATTTCATTTCCATATTTTTGCATGTTTGATTGCCCAAATTTTCCATGGAATTGATTTCCCATCTTTCACCCACATACTCACATTTTCTTGATTTTTGAGGAAAAGCTTTTCCCACCAAAGTTTTTTTAGGCAACTTTTATTATTATTATTATTTTTTTTTTATTTTTTTTTTAATTTTTTGGCAATGGAAACAAATTATATCCCCAATTGTAATAAATTTTATCACTTTAATGGATAATTTTCATGGAAAACAAAGCCAAACGAATACCAAAAGATCCAAAATTTCAATATTTTCTAGGTGAAAAATTATACTAATCAAACGCAATTAATTGACAATTCCCAGTAAAACAAGTTATAGATAATTCAATTCCTTAGAATTCATTTTCTTTCCACCCAAATTCTATTATTGCAATCAAACGGACCCTTAAAGTGAGTAGATATAATAATTCAACAGATGATAAAAGTGTGTATTTCCTTTAACTTGGGGGAAAATATCTATCAATTTGATCAATATCCAGAATTGATGCAAGAGGTCAAGGCAAGCTTGATACAAAAGCCACTGCAGACCCTGACTTGTATAACTGAGGAACGGATTAGGGCATTGGGTTTTCAAACAAAAGTTTGTGTTCAGTCATGAACATTTAAGAATCGTGTATGCCTCAATTAGACTAACAATTAGGTAATGAATAATGATAGAGTGCAGAATCATGGTGCTCAAAAAAAACTTTCCATGCCACTCCACAAATCACTACAGGAAAAAGACTAATGTAGCACTTCAAAAGACATGTATATACCGTAAGAGTGGAAGTTTACCATTTAGCACGTCTCGTTAAATAAAGGAAACAACTCCTTTTCAGACTAAACGCCTAAATTATCAATCAAACTATCTTTCTAAAGCAAATTCCCACCAGATTGCATTTTCCAAACAAATGCTCTAAACACATTAATAGATACAATCAACTTTTCTCAAATGACACTAGAAAACCCAAGATCTCAACAACTAAACACAATCAAATAATAAGGGCAGCAGTTTCTTTTCATCCTACAACAAAATTCCTTCGTGTATTAAAATAAGATATCAAACAACTAGGTAACCTCAATTATCCACATTTCCACAACTGAAATTAAAACGATTAAAATAGCCGCAATAAAGAGAATATGCAATTACCTGCCCTAATGCCAGAGGCGCCAGCTTTCTTTAATCCCTTTTTCTTAACGATGAAACTGGCACCAATGAAGACGCTGGACGACATTGCCAGCACCAACCCCTTAATGTTTTCAGATGACATCCCCTTGTACGAACCCGACGTCCCAGCAGCCACAACCACTTCCGACGCCGCCATCTAAACCCCTCCCAAATGAACTCCAAAATCCAAACTATCACAATTTCATCATGTACCGCTTCAACAATTAAAAAAACTGGGTTAAAGAAATGGGTTTCTTCCCCTTCGCAGCTCCAACTCCTGGTTCAGTAAAATTCCTAGCCTTGCGGAATCTTACGGTAGAAAAAGCAAACAATAAATCTCATGAAATGGGATTTTTTTCAGGTTTCAGATTTTATGCAGAAGATCTAATAGTTGCTTGCAGCTGAAAAAGGCACAGCTGGGTTTTGGTTGATTGCTTCAAATCAGAAAAAAACAGTGAAGTGAAGGGAAATCTGGGGAGTTAATTTTAGTAATAATTAGAAGTAGTACCAAAATAAGGAGTAAGGACTCGTCTCCTACTGAGGGAAGAAGAGAACAACATGCTATCTAAATTGGTAAAACTAATTATACTCGTTTTCTCTGTTTTTCCAAGAATTATATTTTCTTTTTTGACATTTTTACTAATTTTGTTAGGGAGATCAGAGGAAAAATCAAGATTTACCAAAAATCGTGGATGTAGTTTTGTCACATCCAGCTTGCTTAAGTCCTGCTCCATCAAACCTTTTTTAGACATTTTTGATTGCTCTTAATAGGTCTATGGAAAGAGATTAGTGAGGAGCAGCCGTCGGGCCTACTGCTTTACTAAGGAAGGGAGTGGGACGGGCATTGGGGTGGGGAAAGAGAGAGAGAGAGAGAGCTAGGGATAGGCGTTACCGCTGTGTGTTACGAACTCCTCCACCAAGTCCACCGCCACCTCCTGCACCTCCACCAACTCCTCCACCAAGTCCACCACCACCTCCTCTTCCCAGTCTACTGCCAGCTCCACCTCCCAGTCCTCCACCACCTCTTGCTCCTCCATGATTGGGCCAGATGATTTCAGTGTGGAGGATTTCGTGGCCAGTGTTGGGATAATGATTTGGGGCTTCATAAGGTTTTGGGGGGTTGGAGCGTATTAATTACGGGGTTAAAGATTTTAATTAGTTTTAGGGTATTATTCTAATTTGTTAGTTTTGGAGGGTATTTGGCCTAATTAACCCAAAAAAAACCTTACAAGGAAAAAAATATTTTGGGCCTTTGCCCCCCCTATATCTGTCCCTGTATTTGGTGTAACATAAAATTTGGTGAAAACTCTCCTCCAATGCCATGGTACGCCAAATATAGTGTAAAAGATAGTGTAATGAATAGTGTTGCACCAAATATAGAATTTTTCATTTAACTCCATTTTGCCCTTGTTCACACTTTATACGAATTATTTTTTTCATCTATGTCCTTATATAGCCCATGTTAGATTGAGATTAAAATCAGATTTTTAGTAGATTTTAATAGAAATTGATGAGATGTGTAGTTGAAAAGTTGTTGAACCCATAAAATATGTGATTGAAATTAATTTTTGACTTTGATTTAGATTAAAATCTAGATTTTTAATTCCTAACAAACATGGGCTTAATATTTTATTATTAAACTATTAATAAATTTTAACGGATTCATAATTATTTTAATATGATGGTTATTTTTATTTAACATTTATTTTTAAATTAGAATCAATTAGTAAGTAATAATTATTTAATATGTTTAATGTTTTTCTAAATTTACTAATTATTTTAATTCATTAAATATAATTTCTAATTTAACAAATTTTTTTAATAATATAATTTATTAAATATAACTTGGTATAAAAACATTTAAAATAAAATTTGGTAAAACGATCTCCAGTAGTCTACACCAAATTTGGTGTAATCATTGGAGAGGTTACACCAAATTATAGATGATTATAGTGTAGACAATTGGAGATGGCCAGTCTTTAAAATTTCAACAAGAATAATTGGGAAAAAAAAAAATTAAAGAAGAGAAATTCTGCTGTCGGACCTAGGGTGCCGCCTTTAAGTGTTGGGTTGGAATGAATTTTATTTATGGGCTTCTTCTTTAATAAATTATTCAGTAGTTAAGAAAAGTAAAACTTTCAAAATTTCATGGCCTTAGGCTTTCACATAAGTTGCTTTATGTTCGAGCAGGCTCTGGATTTTGGAAGATATTACATGTTTGTTGTCTAAGATTGGGGACAAAGACATAAATCGTGAAAGGTAACGAAAATCCGTTTACAACTACAATGCAAGAACATATCATGTGTCGAAGTATTTTGTTGATCATTGTCGTGATGTTTATATAACTTTGATAATGAATTTATTACGTATCTTATGCCAGGCACAATGATTGATTATTCCATTCATGGACATTTACACGACATTGTTGGCGGAATGGATTTACATCATGAGAGTTTGTATTGATCACAACTAGTGCATCGAGGCACGAGACATTATATTTCTTGGCATCACGTGTAGGAGAATTCTAAGGTGATCACATTAGAAACGAAATGTCTCTATTTAATGGTCAAGGGAGCATGATCCACTTCACTGTGCATTTGTGATATTATGAATATTGGCACCATGGGTAGGATACATGTTAGGTGATCATGAGGAAGTTTAAGTGATATGTCTGTGGTGGTTACAAGAAGATGGTCCACTTAACCATGTCAAAATGATATTGGCAATATGATTATTGATTAGTGATATTGATATTATGCATAGCTTTATCCCGTGCATGGAGTGTGGATCAATGGCAAAATGGGAAAAAAAAAGGATTCTAATGAAATGCTTTCGTGTATATTTTAATGAATATGATACATTTCTAGCATGATATTTTTGGAAGGAAATAACGTGATATTCTACATTCATACTTATAACATGCATGATTTTTAATTGTTAGACATTTTCTTATGTAATTCTTGCATTGTATGTATGCATGAGAGCTTAGAGCCCCATAGATGACTTGACGGGTTGTTGAAACTCTTATAGGATTTCGATGATCGATGTATGTGGGTGACGACACGATGGGTTATTCTAGGAATGTTGTTTTGGTCAGTACAACCTCTTTAACTATGTTTTAGTGTCTTGTAATGTATATATAACTTTTGTAATCTTATTGTAAATGAGGTATAGTTTATTCTATGTTTCATGTATATTATGAATGTCACGGATGAACATCAAAACATGTAGGTTTGTAGGTGTGAAACTGTCTATACTCTTTCAATTTTGTTTTCAAATTTAATTAGTCAAAAATAAAAGCAAACTTACACGTGTTGTTAGGTTATGAAATTATTTATCTCTATATATGTGTGAGTATATAATGCCCCTCTTTGGTAGGGATTAAAATCATATTTTTAGTAGATTTTGATAAAAGTTGATAAAATGTGTGGTTGAAAAGTTGTGGTCCCATGAAATATATGGTTATAATTTATTGTTGACTTTAAATTTAATTAAAATCTTTAGGGATTAAAATCATATTTTTAATAAATGTTGATAAAAGTTGATAAAATGTGTAATTGACAAGTTATGGAACCCATTATGTGGTTAAAATTAATTATTAATTTTGATTTATATTAAAATCTAAATATTAATCACTATCAAATAGGGGTAATATCTACAAAAAGGGAGTATGACATTTTGGGCTCAAAAGTGCAAATCTTGGAAATAGTGTGCATATTTGAGTGTTGAGAAACATTCAAAGAATATTTAGTGATGAGAAGTGGACAATACCGAAGAGTGTTAATTAAAGAACAAAAGTTAAAGTCTTGTCGAATAAAGAGTCGAATGATGTTTAAGATAGCATACCAGACATGAACTCCAAGGAACCATGTTATATGTACAACTATAGTTGACAACTTTTGTTGACAACAAAAGTTGTTAACAATCATTGTACAAATAGCATTATTCAACTCCGAGAGATTTTACCATGCACATAATGAGGCAAGAAAAATGTTATTTGTACAGATTGCTGAGCTGGCAATATTTCTTTGGCTAGTTTAACTTTTTTTTGTCTAACAAGCCAATGAAATCTTGTCAACTCAGCATTCTATAACCCGTCTCTTAAAACAGCATTTACAAGTAGCATTTCTCATGAGGCTATTACAAACATAGATACAATAGAATTTTATTCACACATCATAATACACTTATTTGATCCCTCCTCAAAGACTAGATTTTCATACACTTGCACACCATAGGAAATGCGCACACACATAACATTAATGATTCTACATCGTAGATGTTGATCGCTAAATAAAATTGTGTTTCAACTTTCAATCAATCATAATAAGCATAAATATTTGGCCTAGGTTCAAAATCTTCAGCAAATTTCTGTCCCTTCTCACCAGTATCATCATTATGGGATGAAACATTAGGCATTGGCTCAAAGTCATTTTCAAAAGATTTCACTTCTTTTAGCTTAGCATCATTATGGTAGACTGATATATTAGGTATTGGTTCAAATTCTTATGCAAAACCTTTCTCTTGCTTGCGGGTAAGATCGTTATATCTTGCCTCAGTCGATGTGCGACAATCACTCTGTTTCGCGCGGGTTATTGCTAACAATTAAAAAAAGGTTCAGACAATTGTGTAAGAAACAGACCTCTTGAGACAATGTCCCAAAAATGGGCGTTATATTGGCGAAAATTTACAATCGAAAATAAACAGAATGCCTCCAAGGGACGCAAGCACACGAGTACTAAAAGAAGTGTTTTAAAGTTAAACTAAGAAATTGAAATTACATATTCTCTGTTGAGAGTGTTTGATTCGGGGTCCTTTCCTCTATGTCTTCTTTTCCTTTTTATACTTCCTTGATAGTTTTTTTGTGNATTAACGGTCTTATTTGGGGCCTTCATCTTGGACTTCCTAACTAAGCTTCATCATTTGAATTATTTAATTTGGGTTACACTTTTTGTATGTCAACAATTACACCCCAATATGGTAGAATTAATACCAATTATTAATCTTTGCCATATTTTTCATTTGTATTTTCCGGCAATATTTGAAATTCTCAAGAATTTCAATCATTATTTCTGTTTGGCTGTAACCCTTCTATAATATGAAAAGGTGTAATCGTTACACACCCCTATAAATCCAAAAGATGCGCTATTTTATCGT